TTATTTCCAAAATACATTTTAATATTTTAATGATTTTTCATCATATTATGTAGGGACATATAGTTCAACATATCAACACTTGAAAAATACGTGTTCCATTTTATGCCTATGATGTTTGATATTCAGACAGAGAGTGAGGTTAAGCTGAACAGCATAGGTTATATGGTAATAATAATAAGCTTGTCATCTGGAGGGTTAAAAACCTAAGTTTGCAGACCAAAATTAGAGAAAAAGGAAGGCCACTAAAAGCCAAAATTTTGGCCCTAGGCTTCCAAGTTCAATTAAGTCTCAGGACATATGAGAACTTGTATTGTATCGTCATATAACTCAGGTGTGCACCAAATTTTCTGATCAAGGAGATTATGGGGCCAAAGAGGAACATGATTGATGATGTAAAGTGTGCCTAAGCAGAGTCACGAGGAGAGAAAACATTCCCTCAGGCTTTCACAGAGAGCATATTGGCCAAACAATGGCCGTAACTCATCTACAGGGCAACACTCATAAAATTTCTACAATCTGAGGTAAAGGATCTCAGAATAAATCCTGAGGGGATTTGACTGACTTATCAGATCCAAAAGCTACAGCTCTTGTTGCATAGGTCTTGTTTTATCTTGGTCTTATCCATCCAGCAGAAAAGTATAAAAATGAAGTATAAGAAGTAAAGCCATGGTGTTATGTTGAGCTGTAGGGGACTCAGATCAACAATATCTGACATTGCCAGTCTAGGGGAAGACCCAGGACTACTGACTCTTTTAGAACATTTTGCTGAGTTAACACGCCTATAAATTTCAAATGATGGGACTAAAAAAAGGGGGATACAGATGAATATCCATTTTGTATCTGTGTATTAAAAAAGGTTAAGATAGATATACAGTTACATTCTCTTACTGAATAGAGGGATTTTTTTCTAATAGTGTTTATAAATAGGATATCATGTCTGCATGTTGTACAGCAAATAACCACTATGAATAAAGTAAATAATGTGTTAATTATTGGCACTGTCCTACCAATTCGATTTGAAACTGTCTCATTGCTATTTGTTTCTCAATAAAATTATGGAAAAAAACATGAACACAGTTCCCCAAATTAAAATAATATGCTGTCAAAAATGTAATATTAATGAGCTCATAAACTCATGTGTCTATGGCACTAAGTTTATAATTGGTGTTTCTCCTACCTATTGTGATAGTTAACATCTCCCATTTAGCACATCTAGCACTTAGGAAAGTTAATTTTTTTGTAATATATATTTTTTTCTGTCAGTTTACCTTAACACAACACTGTTATTTTTGCTTTAAACGTTGTGGCACTAGGGCTCACGAGATGGCTCAGTAGAATAAGTGCTTGACAGGCAAGTTCAAGGGCCTGATTTCAATCCCCGGTACTTCAAAAAATAAATAAATAAAAAGTAAAAAAAAATGATACTGAGAAAACAAAAAAAAGTCATAGTAAAATTGAGGCAGACATTCTTGACATAGTCTTTATTTGCCAATTCTTGTCAAAATAACAAAATAAAAACCTGAAGAAGTGTGACTTTATTGTTATTTTAAATGAAGTTAGAAATGAAACATAAAGAGCACAGCTCCAACTACCTAGGTCCGTTTGAATGAAACTTCTATAATTTTCCTGGTGGCTGCCATTCCTGACCATCCAAAGGGTTGCTAGTCATCTGTTTCTCTGGCTATCACTAATCTGAACACACCACACATCTATTTTCCTTGAGTTCCATGGCATTTCGAGCATAACAGTACTTGGCTATGATTACTGTTGGAGGAAAGCTAGAATTGTTCACAGAAACTTTTGCAGTCTGTACTTTTGAGTTTCTCTGATCCTGTGCAGCTTCCCAGAATTTTCCATCCTTTAGTGGTCCTTCAGTCAATTTCCATTTATTCGTTAAAACAATCATCACAAAGCTGTCTTTCTCCTAGGCTCCATCAGATTTTCCTTTGACATATTCCAGACAAAGCTTTCCAGACAATTGTACTTTGCAATATTTAAGTCTTCAGTTTTGCTGCTGCTACATTCTAATAGTGAAAAAAGTCTCTAAATGTTTGTTCTTTAAGTGGAAAACTCCACACACATATACCCACATATTTAGTAACAATTGAGAAACAGGAAAGAGAAAAGCTTAGAAAATTCCTTGGATTTGTGGGTTTAATCTTATAATTGCTTAACAGTCCATTAAACTGGACCATCCAGGGTCCAGCATACCTTCATTCCAGCTGGCACGTAGGCCCAACATGTGAGTGGGACCAACCGGGACCTTCTGGACCCTCACTCCAGCCATCACCCTGGCCTGGCATGTGAGTGGAACTTCCTCCATCAGACAAGCCCAGTATGGAACCCCTCAGCTGAACTCCCTGTAGAGAGGCTACAGGCAAGACCCACCCAGCTTATCCAGAATCAGAACATCTTGCCAGAGTGGCACAGTGCTTTCACTTCCAACAGCTGGAGTAGGAAGAGTGGAGCATAGCAGCCAGACCTTAGCCAGGTCTGTACGAGTTGAACTTGGTAGATTCAGACCTGATTCTAAGGTAATATAACTCTATCATAGCTCTGCACCAAAGGTCAGAAGACAGTGCTATACAATTCTATTAAACTGACATTTATTAGATATACTGTAAATATGTTTGGAGTTATAAAGATCAATATATCATAGATTTGGTCACATAGAACATATATAGTCTAATGAAATTTCAGAATGTAAATTGTTAGATTGAAGAAGTAAAGAATAACTGGAAGGATGGAGTTCTTTGTCCTAACAGATTTATTCCCAAGAAAAATAAATATTACAATATAATATGTTTACCTAATTTATTATTTTAGTAGTTTTCTTAATTTACCTCATATACAGAGTAACCTATTTCAAGTAATTATTTTTTCCAAGTAATTATTAAATAAAGGTAAAATATACCTGAAGTAGCATTTGCTTAATTTTGAAATTGTTCTTCCCTTTGAGAAATCTCACCTCAAGTTTAAGTTCCATCTGAAAAATATAGCATGGTTTTAAGAACTATTCAAGAATTTTTGTTTGATCACTACGGCAATTCAATTCTTACTGATCTCATACAAAAAGAAAAGCAGTGTATTTCATGTATGTGAGAAATTTTTACCCATAGAAAATAAATAAAATGTTTTGAATGTAATAATTCAGTATTTCTTTTTAGTACTATTCAGTTTTATTATTATTGCTTATTCTAATATTCAGAAACCAATTAGACAAACTTAATTATTACCTGTCACATGTATAAAATGCATATAAAATAGTCAATTAAATTTCTTAAATGTCCCTTAACCCACTATAGAAATCTCTGCTTTTATAGCACTTATCACTGACAATTGCTAACACAGACAAGAAGACAGACTAAATTAAATAGTAAGTAACAGTGACTGCAGCTGTTAAATAAATACTAAGTGATGAAGTTTAATAGGATAAGTACAGTAAAACATGAAAAAAGAACAAAAAGTTCTGTGAAATAATTTCGGTAAAATATGAAAAACTCGTTTCATCTAAATTACTTACTGAATATTCTTATCTGTAAAATTATATATAAATTATTTGCTCTTTTAATTTTTCTTTCTTTCCATTCTAGCTCCTCAAATTTACCATCTTCCTTTCAAGGATATCATAAGATGGATGAAATTTTCCAACAGCCTTGTTTCTTACCTGAAGAGGTTTTCTGAACTGAAATTTATACCATAAATTTCTCAAGTGGTACTCAAGGTCACATATGATTTTGTTTAGAAAAAGTAAATTATTCTACTTTTTAAATTTTACTTGCCTCATATCACATCATCACTATTAAATGAAATATTGTATCTCTCTCTCTCATCCCCTCCCTCCTTCCCTCCTACACACACACACACACACACACACACACACACACACACACAAAGTGATGGATAAGAAATGGTGAATGTTTAAATTACAGAAATCTTTTTAGCATAAAATATACATTGATCAGAAAAAATGGGATAAATGTTCTGGAACACAATGGTAGTATTTTGAGGGAGATAAATAGGAAGATGTCTTACATTTTTAAGCAATCACTGTAATTTATCATCATCCCACATTAATCAACTTCTGTCAAATAAAAATATTATGGTGGGTCCTCATGCCACTTATTTACTGGATTGGACACCATGTAACTTCTGGATCTTCCCTAAAGACAAAGTGAGCATGAAAGATCAACATTCTGAATTAAATTAATATATCAAGATAGTGATGATACAGTGAATAAGACTCGCAAAAACAAACTTTTCAAACTGTTTCACAAAGTGATTGAATGCTAGTATCTGTATTCAGTTCTATTCTGCATTCAGATATGCCTGTTAAACAGATCACTCTGGCTCCAGTGTGCAGAAGGAACTGCAGAGGTGCCAGAAAGGAGATACAAGAAAATATCTGTAAATGTTTCAAACACTGGTAAAAGGATATCTTCAGTAGAGCAGATGCTCAGTATTAGTCTACCTGAGTTCTGTAAATCAAGCTGCAAAATTAGGATCTTTTTGCTATTAAACTATAGAGAGATAATGTAGCACAAAATAGAACCTCCTGGGCTGGGGAGATGGCTCAGCAGAACAAGTGTTTGCCTGGCAAGGGCCTAAGTTCAATCCCTGGTTCTGCCAGAAAAAAAAATAGATCCTTTTACTATTTCTATTAAAATATATTGTAATACCAAAATAGTATAATCTGTACTAAACAAATATCAACTTGAAAACTTGAGGAGAAATGAAAAGAATTATGTATAAAAGTAGAGGGAATCTAAAAATCCAGCCAAAAATGTGGGGCTTTAGGCAATTGTTAAAATTACTCTTTATGAAAGCTATCCTTGACATTAAAAAAAATAAGAATGATTGTAGTTATTAATTACATATGCATGTAAATAAGGCCCATAAATAAATAATAGCAAATAACATTGTCATGTTATAATATCTAGATTTTGAGTGTTTTAGAAGAGAATTAAGACAATGACATGGTCAATAAAAACAACAAAAGATGCACAGTATGGTACATGCACTGAACAGTCTATTCCTGTTGGTGTGTTCAAAAGACTGCAATAGAAATTTAATTTCTGGTGTCATTGGTCTTCTTGGCTTTGTGCATGTTAATGCTAGTATTTCAATTGATACAATATTTCATGGATTTTATAATTTTTCATTTTTGCACAGTCTTCTACATAATATTTTGAAATTGGAGGTGCCAGAGCAAGACAGATCCACCTACTATAAACTTAAGGTATTTTAATTCTGCTCCTTGCTTGTTTCCCCCTATTGGTAGCACAGCAACAAATTAAAGATGAAGAATCCTAACATATGAATCATCTCTAGAGGAGCTATTACAAGGCCTGTGTCTTGGTTAATTTTCACTCATTGCTGGGACAAAATAACAACACCCAAAATGAAGGAAGGAAAGATTTGTTTAGCTCACAGTTAGAGGAGATTTGTGTCCATACTCTGCTGGCTCCAACACAAAGGACAACAGTTCATGGTGGCAGAAAACAATGAAGAGCAGAGGAGGAGGAGCAGTTGCAGTGTCCATCAGGACTGTCTCAATTCTTTGTGTGCTGACTACAAAGACCGATGCTCCACCGCGAAGATCTGAGTTCCTCCAAAGTGTCTGGCTGTGGAGATCAAGCTCCTCCAAAGTGGCACAGCTGTGATGTGGCACAGGGAAGATCAGGATGTGGGGCTCAGAAGCCTTCCTCAACTCCTTTATATACCTTTTTTGTGCTGAGTCACTCTGAGGATGACTTTCCCTGCCCTAGGTTGGGGCCCTTACACTCCAGGGCATGGAATCCACAAGCAGATCCAGCCAAGATTCTGACATCTCAAATTGATGCAATGTATCAACAACCACAGCTTCATTCTAGATTAGAATGAGCCCTGTTGATTGGTGTCCAAAATTAGTTAACATGGCTCAAATTGAAACACAGGTCATACTTTCATCACAATAAATACAGTGGAAAAAAACAAGAACTGTAATATTTAAAAAAGGAGCACATGCATCTAGCACTAAATAAAAAATAATGCAAAAGTGTATATACTATGTATATTTATATATAGCTAAACAATAACATGTGGGAGGTAGAAAGATCAGATGGAAAATAATATATAAAAATATGATAAAGTGATCAATTTATCAGATATACTCTTTGAACAATACATAATTTTGCCAGCTCAATCTACTCTTTCCAAAGTAAAAATTAATTTGAGCCTTAAAATAGCAAGTATACATTTAAATTATTCACAATATTAAATTTAGTATGATTTTTTAAAATGTCTTAGGGTGACAGAATCATAATTTTGACTCCACTTTACTGCATGTAAGGTAACAAATGTAAATTCAAATTTGTGTTAATTCACTTTAATATATTGCTCTTTAGATATGATTTATGATCAGCCCATTAAAACAGAGTCTGATATTCTACTGAATTTATGGTTTATGCCTTATACTATATTAACTCGATATTTGTATTAGTTAAACCAGCAAATAAATATCCTTTATTTTTTTAGAATTCTTTTTTATAGCAAGGATTTATGTTTTCTGTATGCCACTCTGATTATCAGACATTGTTTTGTATAAATCAAATCAAGTTTCAATTGAGAGAAAGCACATCTAATATCCTTGATATTTGAACAAATGCCAAAACTTGGGAAAAGAATGAACCTGTTTTGGCCACCCCTCCTTGTAAAGACAAGTTCATTTTACATTAAGCCTAGATTAAATCAGGTGATCTCAGACTCTCTGGAGTTTTAAAAGAATAATTTCACTGATTTTATTTTAATTATAATTGGACATATTTATTTAGCATGGGCAATGAATCTAAAAGTATGTGTTCATTTAGTGTAATTATATTATGTGTTTTATTTGTTTGTATCCTTTTAGCCCTGTTGTTAATCTGTATATATGACAATTAACTTTATAATTACTCATAAGATGAATAAATGAATTTGATGCTGGCAAAATAAAAAAGGAATGGAAGGGAGCGGAAAAAAATAAATAAAATATGTTATATACATACAGCAATTCCTTACAAAGCATGCACATGATCATTTTGTACTATAAATGTACCAATAAAAACTTAATTAAAAATGAAGACAATTTATTCATAGTAACTCAATGTGGTGATATAAGATAGAAATAAATTGGACATATCACTAGTTTTTTCCAGAACAGGATTTAGTCTACCACAACAAGGAGTTCATCAGAAGGATCCAGTAATATCATGGGTTGAATTAATGCAGAAATATTGACTGTTCTCTTTTATTGTTGTTCACATATTTCTATTTATTTTCTCTATAAATCAGAAGTTTTGTTCTGTTTCAGCTGATAAAATAAGTCATTCAAAACCATAGTAACTCTTTGTATTTTTTTTTCTTTGAAAAACTGTTTACAAGATTCTTTACACCAATGTTTGGTATCTATAAACATGAGGGACTTACCTTACTTTTCAAAGCTCAATTTCTTCTCAAGGCCTTGTGTGTGTTGCACTTGATGTAATTTGCACTTAGGATGCTTAATTACTTATCCTATCAGCTATCATAGAGATCAAGGCAGCCTCAGTAATGCTTCATTGATGCATAGACGTGCTTAACTCAGAAATAACAATATTGGAGCTATAGGCAAGCATATCTTTTAGCTGTGATGCAGTCTCAGTTATGGTTATATTTTATTGTTTGAGGATATATGATACATAGTGATTTAGGTAATGCTTCAGTCCACCTCACTTCCACTTATAATTTTTTGGCAGAGACGAGATTTATTGCAGAGCTTGTTAAGAAAGTGGGGATGATACAGTGGAATCCTAAAGGTGTGTCATGTCCTTCACTTGTTCAGAGGAAAACAATTTGGGATATATTTCAGTCCATAGATATCAGGCAAGAGGTACTTCTCATCCACGATATATTGAGATTCATCTGCAATGAACTAGGGAAATCAAGGTGCTTGAATTTGACCGTTAATAAGCCCTTGATCACATTTTCCCAGTTGTACAGCTTGGTGCAGATAGCCATGATGATTTGTCCAATGTGAAACCTTGCCACTGTTTCCTAAGGCTTTCAAAAATACTCCATATGTCTGTCTGGAGCCTAGATTGGGGTAGCACAAGTTTACACAGATAAACAATTGTCCAGAAGCACTGTCTCCAAGATCCCTCCAGGCAACCAATGAATATGAGTGACACGCTACGTAAACTACTGAGGAAATTGCTATTTTCAACCATTGCACAGAAATAACCCATCAGAAAAGTAAATTATGTTTTTTAGTTCATTAAATGTATGCTTTGTATGTTCACTTATGACATTAGGAAATTTACTAAAGAATTCTAATTGAACTGCACTTAGTGAACATATCTGTTGGAGTCTTTATTATGTTAGAATGTAATTGACATTATATATGATGGTTATTATAATTTGTAAGACACACTGAGGCAATTTTTCATTTACTAGATAAAAAAGAAAAAAACATTACATGGGAAATTAGGAGAGAACCTGTTCAGTGTAACCTCAGTTTGGTTTGGGAGGTCTCTTTCATTTGTTTCTGTAGTGTTACCCAAGCATAATAATTTAATTGTGGCTTAATTTCTTAATAGGTAACTAAAATATTTTGCCTTAAATAGTAAAACATACTTTCAAATCTTACAGGGGACTTGAAAGAGGTGAAGTCTAATAAATTTCTTATGCAGAAATTGATTAATCAATCCATTCATAGAGAATATTGTGAAGTTTTCCAATAAAGCCTATCATTAATTTGAGATATGAGTTTATCACCAGTTATTCAGGCATGTTTTAAGGAATTATAAGATATTTTAGATATTTATAACTCTCATGCCATACTCCCCAAAATTTCATTCTGTAGAATGAAATATCTTCTTTTTTTCTTTTTATTTTTTTCAATAATTTTATTGAAAGACAAATGGCAATGAGACAGTTTCAAATCAAATTGGTAGGACAGTTTCAAGGATTAAAACATTGCATATTGTCTTCCTAGTAGTTATATGCTGTACAAGATGCAGACAAGATATCCTATTTATGAACACTATTAGAACAAATCCCTCAATTCATTAAGAGAAAGTAACTACATATCTATCCTAACTATTTTGAATACACAGATACAAGATAGACAGTCATTTCTATATCGCTTTTTTTGTTTAGTTCTACCATTTTGAATATTATAGGTGTGCAAACTCAGCAAAATATTATAAAAGAGTCCAGTAGTCCATAGCAGTATTAGTTCTTCCACTTCTCTGGCAGTGTCAGAAATTGATGACCTGAGTGACCTACAGCTCAACATAACCACATGACGTTATTTCTTGGACTTCGATTTTATACTTTTCTGCTAGATGGTTAAGACCAAGATAAAGTAAGACCTATGAAACAAGAGTTGTAGCTTTTGGATCTGATAAGGTCAGTTAAATTCACTCAGGATTTATCCTGAGATCCTGTATCTCAGATTGTAGGCCCTTTGTCAGTGTCAGCCATGTGGATGTGTCATGGCCATTGCTTGGCCAATGTGCTCTCCGTGAAAGCCTGAAAAGTTTTCTCTCCATGTGACTCTCCTTAGGCACACTCTACATCATCCATCACTTTCCTCTGTGGCCCCATAATCTCTTTGATCAGAAAGTTTGGGAAACAACTGAGTTACATGATGTTACAGTACAAGTTCTCATATGTCCTGAGTCATAATTGACCTTGGAAAGCTAGGGCCAAAATATTGGCTTTCCTTGCAGCCCTCCTTTTTCCCTAATTTCTGTCTGCAAACTTAGGTTGTTGACCCACCAGAAGAGAAGCTTATTGTTATTACAATACAACCTAGGCTGTTAAGCTTAACCTCACTATCTGTCTGAATATCAAACATCTTAGGCATAATATGGAACAGATATTTTTCATCAAGTATTAATATGTTGGAATTTAACTCAGTACGTAATATAATTAAAACATTTTAAAAAATTAAAGTATATTTTAAAAATAGGCATAAACAATTATATAATTCTTATGTTTACACATAAGTCCAAAAATGTAACCATATGCAACCTTGAAGCAGGACAGACCTGCAACATTCCTTTCCCTGTCTCTTGCCTTCACTCACCATCCCCTTATTTTGAAACAATCATCTACATGAGAGAGAGCACAGCA